CAAACATAAATATACAGACTGTATATAAAACTTACAAGTAAATAAATTAGAGGTGCGGAATATATGGAGGTGGGAGAGAGGCCACAAAGAATAGATATCTCCTATATGATGCCTACTCCATTAGTAGAGAACAGTTTTCAAGAAACTTCTAGAAATTCAGTGCTTGGTAGGACAGGGAAAGTTTGGCAAAAAAAAAAAAAAAATTCCAGAAAGTTGTCTGCCTCATTCTGAAGTTTTAAATATTCTGAGAACTCTTCTCATTAACTAAACACAGAATTTTTATCAGGTATGACTCTCTCCCTGTAATACAGAGGGGATGCTTAGATGGAACAAAGATGGAACTGGTGGGGCTCCTCCAAACCCACACCAGAAACCAAATGAATAGGAGGGTTAGGTGTGGTATTAGGTCTTGGGAACTTCACAAAAGACAGACAGAAAGGATGGAGGGAGGGAAGAAGGAAAAGCATAGAGAGGAGAGAAGGAAGAAAGCAAGGCAAGCCACGCAGAAAATAAACATTCAAGGAAGTGTAAGCTGCTGGTGACATCATGTTCAAGATTGAAACTTTGTGGGAAAACATTTTTTTTCAACTAAATCTTGTATCTTACAGTCACAATCTGGAGATTCTGTGTAACATAATGGGAAGTTTAATGAAAATCAAGTGTGGAAAATATACTATCATGATGCCGGGTAATGACTTTTTTTTTCATACACATTTGTCTAATTATACAGTGTTAAATTTGAAAAAAAGGAAGTCTTATCAAGACATTTAGTTTGCAAAAGAAGAAGCCAAGGCAAGAATAAGATAGCTGTCCTGATGTCACTCAACCCTTAAAGCACAAAAATGCAACTAAATCTTAAGTCCCAGTTCTGATTCCAGCCTCTGTCCCTCGCCCACATGCCACAGACTTGTTGATTAGTCCCCTTGTGTGATTGCTGACTACAGACTCTCATCTTGGCTATGAAACAATCAATTTTCACTTTTTTTATTGCCTCTTTATATGAAAACAGAAATAGCCATTATCTAATCATTTGAGCATGTTAAAAAAACCCACATATCCTTTATGCTATAATTTTCTGCATTTAGTGACAACAGGTTAAACCAGCTAAGATGAAATCTATTTAAAAGAAAACACATGGCATATGCACAACTCTGAGCCTATTTTAATTGGGCCCCAGGGAACAGATGCACTAGAGACCACCCATGAGTATGTATATATTGTTAAACTGTGCTTTTACATCCACTCTTAACACTGTTAGGCATATATTTTATCTTAAGCTAATCTTTATAAACTAAATAAGTATGCCAACTAAAGTTTTTTGTATTTATTCTTCAAACTTTGTGGGTACATCTGTTGCAGAAAATATCAAAAGGTTGTAAATAACATGAGTGCAAGGAAACAAAAAACTCAACATAAGGAGTCTACCTTTCTTTAAAAAGAAAACTTTAATCCTTCAAATGCCATATTTATGGAGAAAAGTTCTTAAAAACAGGTTCAGATGCATGATATTAAAAACAAGTCACTAAAAAATTTCTACCAAAAGCCAATGGACTCTGCAAAATAGGAAGAAGAGGTCCAAAGGGGTAGGGGTAGTGGGAGGGGCAGGGGAAAGGAAAAAAGGAAAAGGAAAAATGCTGAGAAATGGAAAAAATGGAAATAAAGTCTTTATAAATAAGGAAGGGTGGAGGGAGTGAAGGGAGGGCTAGGAATGGGGAAAAAATAACCAAGATGCATTACGTAAAGGTACAATTCCCAATGAGAAATGTAGTTGTGTTGTATACCTACAATGTACCAATAAAAGAATTTAACAACAACAACAAAAAAAGCTAATGGACTCAATAAACATGCCAACATTGGCTTCTTCTACTAATCCACTTTAAATGACAATAAATAAGTTTTAAACAAAGAAGAAAAAAGTATAAAGCCATAAAGACAACAATGAGTGACAAGATGGTAAAAAAAAGAAGCCAGAAAGCTGACTTTTCAGACTTGATTCAAAAAAGCAGAATCCTAGAGCAATTGTTGAAAAATTAAGAAGCAATCCTACAAGTACAAGAACCAAACCACCCTTCCTCAGACCCTGACCGAGGCCTCTGAGGACCAGGACCTCTGCAGGGAGGGACAATGTCAGACCTTTAAATAGGAAGACAGGTTCAGAGGCTGCAGCAAAGTTTGACATCTAGATCCTGCCTTTTACTCTCTGCATTCTGTTTTTCGTTGATAATTTGCCACAAGTCTAGAGATTTATCATCTGGAGGGGCCACAGCAGGTCTGTGGATTGAATGCAGGGGTTCAAACATTAAGGAGAGTAGCACTACTGCACTGGAACCATGACAACAAGTAAAGGCTGCTATATTGACCGCCGAGATCTATTTTTTTTGTCCTGCTTGCCAATTCTCAGAGAAAACTACCACCTACTTCCTGCCTTCATGGCAGGGTAATACAAAAGATTTCCTGTGGGCTGGATAGATTTTCAAAGAAAACAGAAAACAGGCTAAAGTACTGAAACTGAGGTTCTATACCTACTCCCTAAATCGCCCATATAGGAAATCCTGAGTTGGAAGGTTCTTAGTATGTACAGCAAGTTTCCAATCAGCTCTTTAGTGTTTCACTCTTAAATATGACTAAGTGTTCCAGAACTCCTAAACATTTAAGCAAACTTCTAAAACAGAAGTTGAAATAATGACAAAAATCCATCTTTGGGGAAACAAAAAAATATACAAAGGAAAATAATTTAGAAACGAATCATTATCTCCAGTGAAATCCAACAGTATATAACCATGAAAGAAAAACATGTTGCTATCAAAAACAAATGAGCATTTAAGGATCAAAAATGAAACACTGGAAATTACTATGTCGTATACAAGAATTAAAATTTCAAAAGAAAGCATAAAAGATAAAATTGAGGTCATCTTCTAATCTATAGAGCAAAACCAGAAAAAACAATAGAGAAAGAAAATAAGAAAATTAGAGAATAAATACGGGGTGGCTATTATCCACACAACAAAAAGAAACATTAAGTAATATTTTTCAATTTCCAAGAAAGACTGAACAGGCCCACTAAATTTCCAGTGGCATGGACTAAAATAGATACCCACGCTGTATCCTTGCACTATTTTAGAACAGCAATTCTTAATGCAGAAAAGGAACAAAAATGAAAATAGTATTGGACTGTTGGACTTTGGGCACCAGAGAAAAATAAAACTTTCAATATTCCACAGGAAAGTGATTTCCAATCTACAGTTTTATATCTACCCATATTAGTAATTAAGCATGAGAAAAAAAATAATATTGCCATATCATTAAGGTCTCAAAAGTTTTCTCTCACACACATTACCTTTTCTTAGAAACTACTGGCAAGCCTGAGGATTTAGCTCAATGGTGCTGTGCCTGCCTCACAAGTTCAAGGTCCTGAGTTCGATCTCTGTTACCGCCAAAAAAATATACTGGCATATTGCATTTGCCAAAATAAAGGAGTAAATGAAGAAAGACTGCAAAATAATGTTCAACAAATAAGAGTATTCAACATAAAAATGAGGCAAAGATACTCAGAACATGAAGGATGTCAGAAGTTATTTCTATTTTATTTGAATAGAGTAAAAGGATGTTTATATAATGTGTGAGAATTTTGAGGTAAGTATACAAAAAAGCAAATACAAAATAAGAAAACTAAGGAATAAAAATAAGAAATTATTAATTTCAAGAAAAATAAAAGATGTACAAAAAGGAAAAATTATGATACCGTGTATTGATCAGCTTCAAATATAGTTTACACAGTCAAAACATTATAAATATGTGAACATGAGTTACAGGTTCTTGGGATCTATAATTTGCTAGGAAGATGTGGGGATGGTAGACATTGTGAAAGAGTGTATATGAGTAAGGGAAATAAAACTATAATCCCAATTGCCATAATAGGAAGTCAGTAAGTAGTTCTAAAAACAGAAAAATCTAGATGAAGCAAGATAAACAATTTACTGAGAAGTATGAAAAATGATAACCAAAGGAACAGTTAAAATAATTTAAAGTCATTACTGCCAAAAAGTAGAAATGGAGTGGAGGTTGTTAGGGTTTTACTTTTATTTGGGGAGGGGGGTTTCAATAATTCTCAGACTTCTTTTTCTTTAAACTATATGTGTTTAAATTTGATTTTGAAAAACATAATTTTACAAAAACCTAATTACTACAATGACCAACATGAGACATTCAACAGTTCTACAAACATCTGTCATTTCCATCTTTCTGATACCAATGTACCTTGAATCTTCTCACCCAAGGTCATAAAAGGTTGCTCCCGCCCCCATTCTGATACAGCTCTTCCTGCTTGTGTCATTTATAAATCTATTTTTGTTCATTAAATGGCAAAGCGAACATTATTGGTGCTATAACTGATTAATGCAGATTTAGTGAGCAGCTCCTAAAAGCCAACAAGGTCTTTTCAGCTCCAGATTACCTGAACTCTTCAGACAATGAAACAAGCACACACTACCCCTTTTTACTAATTACTGAGAGTTCAATAAAAACTCCTGGGTACACACACATAAGCTCCTTACTAAGAAGTCATGCAAACACTAATATAAATACACTCTAAAGTCAACAAACCACTTTAAGAAACTCCCTAAGTTCCAGCATCTTGCATCAGCACTTTGCAACAGGATGTTGGTCTCAACAATAATCAATGCTTATAACCACTCGGGCACAGAACTGATTCCTTAAGTGACGTTTCCAATAGACAAATCCGGGACAAATCTTGGTCTCGAAATATGGGTACAGATTTTAAAGCCAATCCTCTACTGAAAACTGATCAAATTAGAAAGAAAAACACAACGGTGAAGGAATTTGCTCCATGCAAGAATCTTGAGGAAGGCTTTGTCACAGTCATTTAAAAGGAGCTTGTCAGAGAATCCAAAACTTTCAAGAATAAGTCTAAAATGTATTTTCTCCTCCTTTTGAAGATACTGTATGGCAAATTTTGTTCTCAGGAAAAGAAACAAACTTACCTTTCACAAGCTCGGACAGTCCATGCGGCAATTATCCATAATGAGATACTAAAAACCAAGAGCACAGTTCCTGGGCATATAGTCATTAAAGTCTTCATAACAAAACGTGTATTGAAGTTTATCTTATTAAGTGCTCCAATGCTTCTAGAGGAGGCATCAGTGAACAGTTTGCTATGTAAAAGCATGACTCTGGCAATCAGGTAGAGTCTTAAGAACATTGGTATAGATAAAATAATGTCCACATCAGCAGTGGTAGTGGAAGGGGTATAGGAGAAGGCAAGCCGGGCCGTCCATGTGAACGTGTAATTCCCAGGTATGGGATGAATAGCACACACCAGTATTTCCAAGCAGATGAAGAAAATACGCTCATAAGTCATGGCTATTCTCCAGTCATCTGCTCCATTGTCCACCATGAATAACTGAAAAAATAAAGTAGAAAATCAGCTTCAGTATGGCATGAATGCTCTATAAGTGCTAGTGCAGATCTTAACAAGACATTACAGGAGATTTTAGCAATCATAGCAACCTAAAGGGCAAAAATTTTCAACCCTAGCCAGATAAACTGTTTTGTTTTGTTTTGTTTTTTTGTAAAAAGACTGGTACCATAAAGGAACTTCATTTTGTAAAAATTAAAATTAAAAACTTGCTACATAGGAGCTAGTGATATTTTGCTGTTCAGAATTCTGGACAAGCAGAGAAGTAACATTTTTTTAAAATAAGGGGTGTAGGTCTATCGATAATGAAACCCCCTCAGATGAAGTAAAAATAGACTCGCCTTATAACAAATTGTCCTCTTTAAAAGACTGGATTTAAATCATTACAAAATTCTAACTACTTAGGATGAAATCTATTTAGGGTGCCTCTGAAATCAGTTAGTTATACCTTTTGATGTAATAACACATGAGCATTCTTACAAAATATCTTACTCTTTGCTTCTGAGAAAAATCACAAAAAAAAAAAACCCAGAGAAAAATGTGGCAGAAACATTTTTTCCAGTTTCCTTACAACTATTCAATTTTTTCTTTTTTTAAGACAAGGTCTCTCTGTGTAGTTTGGGCTAGTCTTGATCTCACTATGTAGCCCAGGCTGGCCTTGAACTCATGGCCATCCTCTTGCCTCAGCCTTCCAAGTGCTGGGATTATAGGCGTGCACCACCATCTCTGGCTTGCTATTCAATTTTCTATTCCTTTTCTTCTATGCTCCCATTGCCCTGCCTAATTATTAATTCATTTTCAATTCATCGTTCTTTATTTAATAAAGATTCCTTTTTCCTATTTCTGTAACTCTCATACCACAATGAAAGAAGATAAACTGAGAATATAGAACGAATGTCTTTCTCTCTTCCTTGGCTGTTTGTAAACAAGTCTACCAGGCCCCAGCAGTCCATAAATAACCAGCAGCATTTGGAAATGTGTGGTATCTTTTCTGGCTGTCACGATGACTTGTGGGGGCTACTGGCATTTAGGACCAGGAAGCCTTGGGTGCCAACCATGCTGCAGTGCTGGAGTCCCACGCACTGGGGAGACCTGTCTGCCCAGAATGCCAATAATGCTCTCCCACTGAGAAAGACGTCATGTTCTCTGCCTTCTGCTCAGTAGCCAACTCAGGCAGGAAGCCTGAGATGAAAGCAGCCCAAAGGAGAGCAGTGTATCTCTGGTAAGAGAATCACGATGAGGCAGGAGGAGCAGATTCACACACGGCTGGATCCTGTGTGCACTGCTCTTCTAGGGTCAGGAAAATGCCTACTCCCCCATTTGGATGGTGCAAATCCACATTCTTGCTTAATCATTCTGTAGCTGATGGCTACTTCCCATGACAGTGTTACTTCACAAAGACAGGAATCTGAGGAGAAAAACAACCACTTCTTTCTGGTACCTCAAGGCAATGGAGAAGAGCAGAATTGGGATTGTCTGCTTTCTTCAGAAAACTTGGCCTTGAAAAACTCAGCAGTTTGCAAAAGTCAAATCCAGCTCCAAACAAGCTAAGAATCACTAAGACTCCAATGGATGTAAGAAGTGCAGCAGATTCTGAGTGTAATCCCAAGAGTGGCTCCCCACACCATTATGGGTAAAGGCAGGACAAATGCAGGATAAATACCGAAAGGTATTTCCAGTTAACTGGAAAAGTTAACTGCAAGGAAGTGTCCATTTATATGTGTACTTCTGACATGGTGCTTACTCTAGTCCCCTGCCTTCCCAAGACTGCCCTCCTGCCCCTGCACAGAATTCCCTAGCTCCTCTAAATTCACTGGACTCTTCTTTTTCCACCCGCTTTTCATCACCTCACTTCCCTAGCAAGGCTCTTCTCTCTATTGAGTTACCTGGCTTCAACCCTAATCTCACTGCTATGTTCTGCAGCCTCTGCTGGACCTGCTCAGGTAACACACAATCTGGAACTGGGTGTCCAGGCTGCTGCAGGTGGAGTTAGGCCTCCACACACCTGTGCCTTCAAGCTCAGTTGAACGCCTAGTGTCACCTGTGATTGTTCCCTTGTCTCCATAATATATTTCCCTCAAGGGCCACCTCTGTTTCCCTCACTTCACACCCACTTTTTCCTCCATCAGAGTAAATAACCCCTATAGCCTACTTTAGCCACAAACATACCTACATTTATAACCTTTTCTCCTTATTTTTCTTTTCTCTTGCTTCACATGTACTAAAGTAATGTTACACCAAAACCCAGTTCTCCTGCACTGAGAGCCTCCTCCCTGTGTTTCCTCCCCCTCAGCAGAGTACACAAACAAGGTCATATTACTGCCATTTACTAAAAACCAAAACAAACCAAACAACAACAACAACAAAAGCCAGAAACCAAGGAGAACCCTGTCTGACTTTGTCTGTTCCAGGCTGTTTGTCAGCTCACCTCTCCTTAGTGTGGATATTGCCACCATCAGCCCACTAACACTCTTCTTACAAAGGTCACTAAAGTTCTCTTTATGATGAAATCCAATCTCCCATTTGAAATTTTTATCTCACTCCCCCATCATTCCTTCCTTCCTGAAGATCTCTTCCCTTAGCTTCTATGACATATTGCCTTGTTCATGTGCTGCCACCTCAGTGATCTCAGGTCTCTTTCCCCGCTTGAGAGTCACTGTCCTTCTATGGTTCACCCCTAACTCTTCTCTAACTCTAAGCCCTCCTTGGTGATCTCATCCTCCACTTTCTATTACCAGAGTCTCCTTTTGGAGACCATATCCTACCCTCCAGTGACCTCTTTAAAATGCAAATCATACAATTCCATTACCTTCAAATTAAAACTATCCAAAATCTCTGCCTCATGGTTAAAGTCTTATTTACAACCACAGCCGACAAGGCAATCTGTAATCTACTGCCTACTACTCCCGATATTTCCCTATGATTACAGATTCCAGAACACATTGCCCTAATCCTGTTTCTGTGTCTTCTGCATCCTGTCTTGTGGCCTCTAAAGTCTTCATCTAGCAAATTCTTATTCCTTCACGAGCAGACTCTGAATCACCTTCCTTAGAATATAGTCCATGTCTTATCCAAGTCTCAAAACACTCCTTTGTTCCACCATGATCCTTGTATATTCCTCTTACTGAAGCTGTCACAGAGGACAAAAAAGATTTTATAAAATCGTCTCCCCTACCTGTCTCTGATACTAGTTCAGGATGGGAACCACAGGTAACTAGCAGAGGATAACAAATGTTACAGGAACTGTTGCTTCTCACTTACTAATGACTATCCCAATCAATGGATAAGTTTTGATGTTCATTAACTATGCTCATGGAAGATAAAATACTAAAGCAAAGTTCAAGTAAATCCACATTTTTTAAATTTTAAATTTTAAAATCTAAACATTGCTAATTTGTTTAGATGTAATAAATATCCAGAGTACAAAGTACTACATGTCAGTGCTGTGTTACACACTAAGCACACCATAGGATTTACAGAAGGCACAGTCTGTCCACTGGAACTTTGACTAGAAAAGAAAGACAAAGTCAAGAAAGCCTGCATGAAGCACTTTAATAAAGCAATCACGTCTATGGATATGGCTGTGTAGGAAACAAACAAGAAAGGAAATATAAAATAATCTTTTGCAAGTGAGGAGGGGACAAGAGATGGAGGGAAGGAGAGGGATAAAAGGGTTAGGGGATTAAAACAAAGAATTAAGATTTGGTAGTATAGGACCAGGGATTTAGCTCAGTGGTTCCAGTGCCTGCCTCACAAGCACAAGGTCCCGAGTTCAATCCCCGGTACCAAAAAAAAAAAAAAAAAAAGATTTGGTAGTATATATGAATCAAGTCCCCAAGATGAATGTAACCATTATGTACTACAAACATGCACTAACACAAATTAACATTTTAAAAAAAGAAATAGCATAAAAATTTAGACAGGACAGCAAACGTGGTTGTCAGGGAAGACTTGTAAAGAAGTACCATTTATCCAGTAAGTCCTGTGTAATAACAACCAGCCAAATAAACAGGGAAATAACATTCTGCACAGGGAAACAGCAAACATAAAGGCCCTGGACTTCATAAAGGTTTGCATGCTTAAGTCAATAAAAGAACACTATAATGCCTAAAACTTAATGATCAAGGGGCAGAGTCAAGGGCCTAGGATTTAGCTCAGTGGTTTTGCCACCTGCTGCACAAGCACAAGGACTCGAGTTCGATCGCCAGTACCAAAAAAAAAAAAGGGGGCAGAGTCAAACAGGATGAGTTTGAAGAGACAAATTAGGACTGGATATGCAGGACTTGTTGGCCATGGCATCCAATCTGGATTTCATTCCAAGGGAAGTGAGAACCCACTGCAGGGTATAAGGCAGGAAACTGATGTGACTCAAAGCTTGAAGTGTTGCTCCTCACTGGTACTGGAAATCAGAGAGGCAAGAATGGAAGGATACAAGTTAGGAAGTTTTGTTGCACTAGACTGGATGTGTCCCTGTGACCTAGGCCAGGTTTTATGGGAATGGTGATAGTGCGTGTACTGGACATAAGGCTTCGGGATATTGTTAGGATTTTTAGATGTGCTGAATGTGAAAGCAATGAAAGAAAGAAAACACTCATATTTATTGACATTTGCCCCTAAAAACAGAGTGGGTGGAGGTGTCATTTCCTAAGAACATTTCCTAGGCCCTAAGAGGTGAAGGAGGTAAAAAAAGAAAAGCCTCTGTTTTGGCTACTATTATCTGGGTACAGATCCAAGTAGATAGTAAGATGTACAAATCCCACCAAGAAGTCTGGATTACTGAAATAAATTTGGGAGTGGGAGGCATCAGTATGAAAGTAGTTTCATGAAATCAAAGGAAAAATTAGAGAAAATACAGAGGAAAAGACAGGACAGTGTGCAAGGCCAGGTTCTATAGAACTCCAAACGTGGAGGGCAGCTGGAAGGTCATAAGAGGAAATGAAATGCAGCCATCTGTGAAGCAGGAGGAAAAACAGTGTTATTCTAGG